AGCAACATATGAATTCCAAATATTTACAAAAGGAAGCTGAAACTTTGGCGAAATTAACTAGACACAAGTTTTGGCTTTAAGCTTTTATTAAAAAAAATAAAAAATATTATTTAAAAGGGGGTTAACTACCTAGGATACCCATCCCACCTCCTCCTCTGACCGTTTGTAACTTATAGGGGTATTAATTTTGGTTTATGTGCAACTTGTACGCTGTAAATTCCACCTTTTTTTGTGCCCGGATCCCGGTCTTTGGTCCTTGGTCCTTTCGCTTTTGAGCAAACGGATGGCGATAAGCAAAGCGACAACAACAATAACTATTCCAGGACATGCACAACCGTACAAAGGCCACAACGACCACGTTGATATCATTCGCGCAAAAAAACGCTTTCAAAATAACAGGGCCACCACTACTACAATGACTGGCCTGGAAGGCATTCGGACTGGCGCCTTTTTAATTTATAGAAAATACGTATAGAGTGTGTATGTTTTCTGAAATATATATCTTCTAGATCTGCATTTGAATGCGGGAGCCATGGGAAAATGTTCAAAAATGTATATTCACGTATTCAGAGATATATTTTTGGGGAAATAAAAGGTCAGCGGGGAGTAAAAGTTGCAAGAGAGTAGGGGTTTTGTGGAGCTTTTCAAGATATACCAGTGACGAGAGCACCGTTTACTCTCTGACTTGTCACGGCCAATATTGTCTACTGGTTTGTGACTTGTTTCTTAAAATCTTACCTTTATTTGTGATAAAACTTGCTACCAGAACAGAAGGCAAAAACAATCAGTGAAAGCACTTATCAATGAAACTCAAATATATTAAAGGGGTTTTTTAAGCGTTATCCATAAATTAGACTCTGATTTGTGACGAAAATTGTGACGAAAACAAAAAAGAATCTTTCTTTGAAAGAACAAAGGCCCTTTTAAGCCAAACAAATTTAGAAGCCAGGCACTAATTTGTGACGAAACTGATCTTTATTATAGAAAACAAAATATATACAGTGACGAAGGGTCCAAAATCCGAAGGCCAGACACTGTTATGGGACGTAATTTGTTACTAGGATTGGACACAAAACAGAATCAATGACGAAAGCTTTTAAAGTTAAAGAAGTTCTAAAGACGGGCAGTAATTTGTGACGAGAAAAGCCCATCTAAGTTAAATATATTAATATTTTTAATTATTTAACATTTAAATAAAATTAAGTTAATAAATCTTCATTTAAAGCTAGTCTATCTTTGTGCCACTAAATCCATTTAGTCCGTTTTAGTGAAAAAGGATCAAGGATCAACCGCTTAAGACACTTGACAGCGGCAGCCGCAAAAAAGCTGCTTTTCCCGGCAACTGTCGGCGACAGCTCCTGTAGCTCTGCCCCTTGGCTGGGCCTCCCGTTGAAAACCACGCCCCTTGGCAGCTACTTTCTCCAGTAGCCACTTGATGACAGCCAGCAAGTTGACACTAATCAGTTTAGCTCTAGCCCGACTTCAGCAGACAACTTGATTTGCATACACAAATGTGGCAGCGGAATGTGGCAGGGGTTAGGGACTGGGGCGGTGGGAAAACCACTTAAGCGGGCAACTAGCCACACCTAACCAGGCCGTCAGTCAAGGGGGATTTCAGTCCCAACAATTTCTGCGCTTTTTTCACCATCCTGGTCCTGGCTGTGGAAAAAAAAAGGACGAAAGCAACCCCTTTTTTGGAAGCCAAAACAGGAAGTAATCTATAGTCGCTGCGCCATTGTTTATTGTTTAATTTTTAGTCAACGCTGTTGTTGCTCACTCCGGCGGCAACTTTTGACTCCGGGTAAGTCTCCGTTCTGGTTATGCCCGCTTCCTGTTGGTCCTGTGCTAGTTCTTCGTCCTCTGCCCGTCCTATATACCGCACCCCTTGTCACTGAATTTTCTTCGTGTATTATTTCTATTGTTAACAGTTTTTGCATTTGCCGCTGCAAGTAGCGAAAACTTTTCACAATGGACCTTTGTTCGGCCACCCCCAGCCGCCAGGCCTCCGACTCCACTACGCCCCAGCTTTTCAACGATGCCACTTGAGCACTACAAAGGAGAGAGGCGAAAAAAACAAGAAGGAATAGGCGTGGAGACTATAGATACCCGGTACTTACCCGGTAGTAACAATAATCAAAGATAGAGTCTGAATTACAAGAACTACCTACATTTATTAGAGATGCCCATAAGAACCATCTTTAAAAATATATATATATTTAATATTTCATCGATGAACAGATATACCCTTATCCTGGGAGGAAAGAGGAAAGGTACAAATAAAAAAAAAAAGGGGACACGACGTAGCATAAAGGAAGCAAAACAAAAAACAGGACAAAGACGCCCAAGATGCTCAGGACGAAGCCGAAGACGCCCGTTGACAACAGGCCCCACTTCCAGACCCAGTCCCAGTCCTCGGCCGTATCGTGCCCCTCGGAGTCATGACACGCCCGTATCGCATTTATTCGGATTTCGTTTTATCGGAGCGGCAAGAAAAACAGCAACCCGTCGACAACAAAGTCACCCAGTTTCCAAGGCAGCAACAAGACACTGAGAGAAATATTCTTCTGTGCTTCTTATATTTTCTTATACATTTTCTTCTTATAATTGCTTTGCGGCACACTTGAAATCAGACACTCGGTTGGAATGGATGCCCCAGCAACTAAATTTAAATCAGGAGAGCAGGAGAGCTGGCCATATTAATTCAGATAATTCCGATAATTTGTGGAGTTCATTTGCGTTTAAAGTTTAAACCAAATTCCGATGGTTAATTGACTTTATCGTTATTTATGGCCCATAGTTTATTATTAGTTGGACAATAAAAAAAAGTGAGGGGGGTAGAGACTTCTGCAAGGACATTCTGCATTAACATCATCGGTTTCCGATGCCCAGGATACAATACTATAATAATATCAGCCATATAAAATATATCACTTGTTTTTTTAAAAATAGTTTCATATACATCTAAACTAAATAATTAAAGAATCGATTTAAAAAAGAAACTTAAAACCCTGTGAATGAAATTCGCATTACAAACATTTTGTAAAGAAATTTCCACTTGAATTTGACTTTTATTTTTTGTTATTTTTTTTCTTTTTTGTTCATTTTTTTTAAACACAGATTTTGATTTGTTTTGGAGCGGATGGATGGAGTGTGTGAGTGTATGTAGTGTGTGAGTGTGTCGGTATTTTGGAAAACATAGAAACAAATGGCTTAGACGCAGACAATTAGGACATTTAGGGATACGTTTGGGGGTTTGTTGGGATGTTTTTTTTTTCTCATATTTTTTTTTCTGGTTATTCGGTTTTTTTTTCAGTGATAACACATAGGGATGTACAAATATTTTTTTCTTTGGTTTTATAATAGCTTTGATTCGGTATTTTTCTTGGTATTTGGTTAGATGCTCACTTTCTTTATTATTTTTCTAGTTTTTTTTTCACCTAACTGACTGTTCTGTTTATCCTGTAATCCTTGTAGTTTCTGGTTTTTTTGTTTTTTTTTTTTTTGTTAACAAAACATTGACAAATATTAATCGATAAAGTATCGGGAAACAATAAAATGATCCATTTGATTTTGATGAGTAATCGAATTACCATAAAAAGCTTTGATCAAAAACGAACGGAAAATCGAAAGGAAAACTCTAAGATATCAAGAGATGAGAGGGGTTTTTCGTTGATGGGAAAATCAAAACGAAACAAATTACGATTTGGGGCAATTAATTTTTGGTTTTATTTGGATTTTACTTGGAGTGGCGGTAAGACAGCGAGAAGGTGAGAAAAAGTGGTGGTTAAGTGTCTGAAGAACCTCGGGAAAAATCAAATAGTTTGGCTAATTAGCTCGAAATGCTCACATGCCAACTAAAGAGTTATACAAAAATAATGATTATCTTAAGAAACATGAATAAAACAATGAAACACATATTTGAGGATGAGTTATCGATTATTTATCGATATTTTTTGGGTTAAATGGGTTAGTATGAATGTTAATATCAGTGGCTGATTGAAAGGATACGAAAAAAAGAAACGAGAAACACAAATCGGAAAATCAAAAGAAATACACATATAGACACGGTACACATAACACATACAATTATTCGTATATATATTTATTTATAATATATATTGATTGGTGGTGTGTATATATAGGAATCGAGATTCGATTATTCTCAATTCTCGTCTTGCCCTAAAAAGTATGCTAACGAAAAACGATGGAAATTAATATGGAAATAAATACGAAAAAAACATACTCATGATATGCAATGTCCATGTATTCTTTTCTCTTTATTTTTTTTTGCATTTTTTTTTTATTATTATTTATGTGTTGAGAGTGGAGTGCGTGCTTTTGTATCTGTGAGATAAAAAATTATGAATGCATTTTCGTGGCTAATTTTTTTCTGTATTTTTTGTTGTTGTCTTTACCCATGTTGTCGTGTTTTATTTACATGAATGATTTGTTGACTTTTCGAACTCGCTTCGAATGGTATTTTTTCATATTTTTTGCAATTCTTTTGTTTTTGTGTGTTGAAATGTAATTTAAAATCAACAAAATGGCATTTATATGACGGGGGAATTAAAGGGCCGGTGCTGGTACAATTATAATGCAATTATTATACGGCCGAGTGGCCTGGGAATTAACCAAAAAAAAATATAAATAAAATATCAACTTATAGAGGAACAAAAGTCAATTGCAGAATTTTAAATTTGAAAATTTCAACTGCAGTTGATTGGAAATCATGATTTTGGATATGAATGCAAGAGATGCAACCTACTGGTGTGTGTGTGATTTTGGATGCACATTTTTTTTTTCGAAAAATCGAAAAACAAAAACCGTAAGAATCAACTGAAAATGAATGCATTTTGTGTTCGGATGAAGAACTGAAAAGTTCCAGAACTAAACTCAAAAAAGATGCGACTGTAACAAACATATTTTCTTTCCTGGTTACCAAGTCTGTGTTTCCTATTGAAATGTTTTTTTTTTTTTTTGGTGTTTTTTTTTCGACTTACCAAGGTGTGAATGAGCTCCAGAAGAGACTACAAATTCACGGGTTGAAAACGTAGGATTTTTTTTTGTGTGATACATATATTTTTTTTTTTTTTAAGATTTTAATTTTGCATGTAGGAAATGCATATTTTGATTGGTGTTGAAATTTGGATTTTGATTTTTTTGGTTTTTTTGGTTTAGCACACAACATGAAGGTATCGAGCCACAGCAACAGAGTAGGACAGTACACAATTAATTGACAGGACAATAAAAAAGAAATCAAAAGACAAAAATGCGTTTCGTTAACGAATTGATCAAACTTTGATATTGCTTAACAATTGGATAGAAATTTTCATTTTTTTTTTTCTTTGGTTTTTTTGTATCATTTTTTAGCATACCTAGGGTAAAGAATTGTACTTTCATAGCTTAGAGTGGGAACAGAAACGGAAATGGAAATCGAAAAACGATAACGATAACGGAAATGAAGACTACAAAAATATTAAAGAAATGAAAAGAACAGAAAAGTAACACACATTTGACATACACATTTAGTCTGATGATGGACGAAGACGAAGACAATAGACTTATAGACGGAGATCGGCAGACATCATTGGGGTGTACTGGTACTGATATATCATCGTTGTTGGTTTAGTATGGTTAGTTGGTTAAATGGCAAACTGAAGAACGTAAATCGAACTATAGGGGATCAACTAAAAATCAACAAACAAATGTAATCGTAATCGATATTAGGGATGGGACTTCCTTCGGAGGTCGTCGGACATCGGCGCAGTTATCGAGGGCCTTTCTTATCGGGCGGGTGGGACTCGAAATTAAAACGAAAATCATAGCAACCGAACAACTGAACACATAGGCTAGTACATAGTTATACAATGACAGACTGTACTGCTGAGATACTGTACTGTATTGAAACGAAACGTAACGAAAGCAAATCAAAGGTAAAGTAAACTATCGATAATGTAGCTAGGTCTTGGTTCTTATTAGCAGAGTCACTTACTTATCGATATGAAGGCCTAAATTATGTGGAGATTTGGTAAATTGTTTTTTTTATTTCATTTCTATATATCACATTTTTTCTTTCGTTTATTTGTTATATATATTGTTCTTTTTTTTTTTTTAGGTAAGACGAACACAAGGAGGTTAAACATTAGACAACACACAAACTCAATGGAGTGCTATCAAATATTATCGCTTCGGATCGCATCAGAGATACATAGTGGTATATAATTTTCTGATTCCACAACTCGAGAGAGATGAGAGAGAAATGAGGCGGCAGAAGATAACTTAGGGAAATCAACAACAACAAAAAAATACAAAAAAATTATAAAAATTTATCTTTTTTTTGTGAGTTTCTTTTCTTCGGGTTTTCTTTTTTTTTAGCGGCTGGAAGTTGTCGGTTTTCTTCTCGACTTTGCAAGAAAAGAAAAAGCTCAAACAGGGAAATGTCCTTTCGTTTTCCTCCTCCCTTAATTTTTTTTTTTGAATTTTTTTTTTATTTTGTGGCGGGAGAAAATTAGGAGAACAATCACTCAGGATTAACGCAGGATACGGAACGTAAAGAAATGAAACAGTAACGGAAACGGAAGTAGAAATGGAACGGAAGGACATACAAAAAAGAGAGAGAGAGAGGGAAACGAAAAACTAGAAAATTAAACATTTTTTTTGTAGTCTGGAGACTCTTTCATTCTCATCTCAATATATTTTGAGGTTTCTTTTTTTTCAGCGCATAAATGATAGACTCATTGAGGGGAGAGAGGCGTACGGGATTGTGGGAATGTGAATGGGTATAGATTTTAAATTTCTTTTACTTTCTTTTTGCTTTTTCGCTTTTTTTTTTAAACTGATTTTGAGGCTACTGGTAGTGTGTCAAGTTGGTACAACAACAAAAATTATAAACAAAATAAACAATTTCTTGTTTTATTTTCATTATTTCTCGTTTTTTGTCGTTAAAGCATATGAACTTAAGATGCAATATATATATGTATATATACTATAGATGAATGATCTATCCGGCTCTATATACATACATACATACGCTAAGGCTTCATTTAGAATAAATTTGAGCTTTTTCCCTTCATAGCACCCGTTAAGCTTAAAGAAATCCACACAGAAACCGGAACAGAAAACGGAAAAAGTTCAAACGCAATTCCAATGAAATTGAAATGTATTTTTTTTTTTCAATTGCAGATCTATAACCTCTCTACTATATACAGTAGTTACATATCCGATCGGTTGGAGTCTGAGGCAGACACTATCTGCAATTCAAAAAGGGGTTTCCAAAAAAAAAATCGAAAACTAAAGAAATATTTTCAAACTCAAAAAATCGCTTAATAGCAAGCCCTCTTTTTGGTATTCAAGTCCCTGCGCTCTAAGAATATATACGTATATATATATATATATAAGATATGGACTATATATAGGACTCTCTAGGTGACAGTTAAGGCTAAAATATATGAGGCACATCACTTACTTTTCGCTGTACTCGTCCATGTGGGCGTACGATTGCACTGAGTTCTCTTCGATCAGGAACTTGACCCGCTGGTAGAAGGAGGCGGTGACCGAGGGGGGCTGCTTGCGGAGCAGCACCTCCACAGGATCGTTCGAGGACAGGCACATAATGTGCTCCGAACAGGCAGGATGCGAGCAGCACTCGCTATCCGAACAGTCGGTCATTCCATCTATAGGGGGTATTTTTAAAAAAAAATAATATTTTAAAATTAAATAAATTAAAATTAAAGCTTCTTAATATTTTTAAAATACTCTTTATACGTACCGCCATCATTATCGATATTGTCCTTGCAATTAAGTTCCAGTGCTATGGAACAGTCGCTTCCGGCCCATCCTTCAATGCAATCGCAGCGGTATTCGCCATTCTCCAGGGTACACTGTCCATGACGGGAGCAGCCATTCTCGCAGCCAGCTGGGGAAATATGAAATATAATTTAAAATAATATAAATACTCAATAAATGTTTAAAATAAATATTTAAAATTTATTATTATGGAAATTTATCAAAGTCCCTGAAAACTATGCTATACTTTTTAGTCGCAGCCCCAAATCACATCAATCATACGACATGGTGGTCTAAATGAAGACTTGAATGAGTTTTAAAAATATAATTAATTTATGGTTTATGTTGAGAATTAACTTAAGATTTACTCATTATTTAAATTATTTTATTAATTTATTTTTTATAACTATTAGACTACTTATGTATATCACTCATACGCACTGTAGTCTCCCAGTTAGAAAAGGTTTTCTTTGCAAAAAGTCTATACTTTTCTTACTTTTAGCTAAAAATCTTTAATTTTAATAACAAATTCTGAAGCTACCTTTTAGCATAAACACTAAAAAATAAATTGCACTTTTTTTTGACCCCATAACTCATACGCCCTGTTGTCCAATTTATTGTTTAATTTTTTCTTCGCCTTTGTGTCACTTTTAGATTGATATTCCATTAAATAAATACTAATATGCATGGAAAGCCACCACATTACTCATACGCAGTGTAGCCATTACAGTTATTTAGATTCTATACAAGAATTTATCGTAATTTTTGATATATAGTGAGATTAATCATACTATTTCTATTTCATACTATCAGTTCAACCTAAAACCTTGACAAAAACACATCACTCATACGCAGTGTGGAACTGCAGCTGCCAAGGTAAATTTTTTTGGTAAAAATCCAGTTCTGTGTTGTCTGTAATTAAGAGCAAACTGTCCGGATCGAGTGGCGCTTCAAATTGAATGATAACACAGCTCCCCTAGCCCTACCCCTCCTTTCCCTTGCCATTCCTGTAAATTTGCATTCCCGGGCCTCCAACCTCCTTGATTTTCAAGTCAACATCATGAATATAAAAATAATGTTGATGTTTGCTCTCACTCTCAGTGGCAGTTAACCTATGGCGGCACTCAACGAAATGTTCGGCAAACATAAAAACCCAACGAAACGTAACCTAACGATAGATGATTTCTGCCCATCATACCCTCAACCCCCCCTTTGTGCTTTTTTTTTGTGTTGTGTTGCCATCATTCTGGCTTTATTTGTTTGTGCCACGACAGCATTTGACGCAAAGTTAATGTCACTTGACATGTGTCATTTGCAAAAATGTTAATGGCAAGGGGGTAAGGCGCAAAGGTAGCAAAGCCCGCCCCCTTCTTTTTTTGTGCCTTTTTTGTGTGCCATTTGGGCTGCTAACTCAGCTTCCGGCATGTTAAAAAGTTTGCGGCGCATAAAATGACTTCCCTGCTTGTTACTGCCTTCCTGTTTACGACTCGCTCCCCGGGCCTCGATTCGATTTCCCTCCTCCTTTAGCCCCCCCTGTGTTTGTGAGCACATATTGGCAATAACTTCAAGTGTTCGACTCGCAAATATTGGCATTTGTGAGCAACTCTTGCCAAAATCTGATGACTGGATTAGAGACCACCGAGCGGGAACTCTTCTTGAAAAAAGGGCAAGTACTTCTTGAAAACTCGGTCAGAATTTCCCAAAAAAGCGAGCTTCCATTACTTTAAATATTATTCACTAACTTTAGTTGTATTTTTGGCAGTTTTTATCATGTAGAAGCCTGTGAGCTTATTTTGCCTCTACTATTTTATCACTTTCGGCGGACAAATCCCTCGCTTTTTATGCCTGGCCATTGAAAAAATGTTGTAATCTCCCCGAACACACTTCTGCACATATTTTACAATCCATAATAAAATCCCCATAGACCCCTAGACCAGCAAAAAAAATCCCCGACGAGGATGAGGAAAACATTGTAAATATTTGAATGAGACGACGCGACGGGCGATAGAAATGGAAATAGAATGGAAAGCGATAGAGAGAGCCACTAAATGTAACTACTAGAGGACTCTATATATATGTACGGCTTTGGAGTGTCTGAGCACCTTTGACCCCATCGGCGTCACCCCTATTTTTATTTTTAGTTTTTTTTTCAATGCTTCCAACTCCCAGACGAGGCCAATTGAGCGGAGGTCTCGGTGGCGCGTAATTCGCCAGAAATCTCTGTTTCGAATTCAATCAACTCAGCCGCATTGAAGGCGCCGACTGAAAGGTCTAATCTGTGCAGCAGACCCCCTTGCCCCATGCCCCATGCCCCCTGAAAGAGCTCATGTGCAGGGGAATAGTGATGACGGTCTGATCTACCTTTATATGTCATTTATTTGGAGGTATAAAGGCTTTATAAGGTTTATTCTTAAAATTTCTATAACATTTTGTCTTCTTTAGTTACGAAAAAATATTTAAAAATTTTAAATTGAAGAAGTTTTGTCAGTTAATTCTTGAATTATTTAGACTTTTATTAATTATAATAATTGTTTTAAGTTTGAAGAAGCTTCGAACTCTACACTGAACGCTATACTGAACTCTGAACATAAAAGCTCTATTTAATGTTTCCATGACTAGTTTTATTTAGTTTAAAAAATATCCCCCATTTTCTAAGCATTTATGTAGCACTACCCCCTTAATTTTTTGGCATCACTGAGCCGGCAAAGTCGTTAAGTACTTTCTAAAAATACAACACCGAAACCCAGACACAGATACGCTCCACTATTCTATATTGCATGTATTAGTGCCACTGACACGCCCCCTTTTCGCATATATGGGGGCCGGGCAGGACTGGGCTGGGCCGGGGCTGGAGCACTTGGAATCGATTGAGTCCCGTGGGAGGGAGAGCGAGGTCGAGGCAAGATTGCCAGTGACTCTGAATGACGTCGGAAGTTTTATTGGTTTTGCACACGTCACCGAAATGTTGATCGGGTTGAGGGGCGGGCTGATGGAGGTAGAGGTGGGGCTGACGCGGAGGACAGTCGCCAAAGCCAGAAACCAGGAGGGGGGAGTGCCATTACATGCATGCCTGGCAGTGTTCGGCGTCGTTTTGTGGATGTTTTTGTAACATGACTGTTTGTTTTTAAAGTTTTAATCACTGTCAATCGATAGCTACTTATCATGCTGCAGTGCCTCGAATGGCTCTACACCCCACCGTCCTGTTATCCTGCCCCGGCAACTTGTATCCTGGCGCTGCTCCTTTCTATTTGTTTTTGTTGCCGGTCGTCAGAGTTTTGTATGAGTGTGTGTGTGTGTGTTCGCCTCAAACAACATGGTTAAGTCATGGCGGCAAAACTGTCAAACGCACTTCCCAGCCAACCCCCAACCAGCCCACAACAAAAAAAAAACCCAAAAACCAGCAAAATTCGTGGAGGAATCCTGGGAAATCACTCGAGGGGGGGCTGTTGCACCACGCCCCTGGAGTGGAGTGGAGAGCAAATGGCGTAAACATGTACAAAATACTTTGGTGCATCGACTCCAGCTCCATCTCCAGCTCCAGTTCCAGCCAAAAAGTTGTAAAAAATCCAAACCAAAAAATACTAGTAGAAGCAAGCCAAAAAATTGATAAAAAGCACGAGAGAAATGTTTTCTTTAAAGGTGAAGACTAAAAGCAGAGGTGTGGTTACAGGGGTGGGGATATGACACTGTTTTGGAACAACTGTCAGTGTTTGAGGACCCCTTTTAGTGACGGTTTTGTAAAATTTCCAACTTTTATTGTAAACTATATGATATTCAGTACTTCTCCATCTCTAATTGCAGGCTATATAATAACCGTTTTTTCTCCATATTTGGTTCAAAACTTTGAGATACCCGGTAATCCCGGTTTTTATAAAAAACCTCTATCTCTCATTGCAGCTTATATGACACCCGGTACTTCTCTATCATTGGTTGTAAACTTTGAGATACCCTGTACTCCTCTGTTTGTAACAAAAGACTGTGTGATACCCGGTACTTCTGTATTCTTTATAGAAGTCCGATACCCTCTATCTGGAATAGAGCCTCTAGATAGATGGAGTCGACACCCGGTACTCCTCTTAGTCTTTAAAGCTACATGATTTCTGGTACTACCCCTCAAAAAGATACTATAGTTAACACTTACGCAGAGTACAATGACGTCCGTTCCAGCCTTGAGAGCAGACACAGGTTCCATTCTTGCACTGCCCATGTTCCGAGCATCGGGCATCGCAGGGCAGCTGGTCGCACAGGTTTCCAGTCCATCCAGAGTTGCAGCGGCACTTGCCAGACTCGCACACTCCATTGCGTCCACAGTCCAGACTGCAAACGGCTGTAAGGATAGTTGGGAGATTTAATGAGTATTTGAAGATAAAACTAAGGACTACTATAGACTATAACCCTTACAAGAGGTCTACTTTCAGATCTATTGAATCGAATGAGAATTAAATTATATGATTCTGGGCATTATTTATAAAAACTTAAACCTTAAAGCCTTATCCTTCTCCATTGGTGGACATTTTTCTTGGCCTGACTCTCTGGAATTTATGGTTTAGTTCATAATCTGGTTTTCGGGGGATGCTGGGGCCGCCCCATGACTTTTGTTCGCAGGCGTAAATTTATTTTATTTGTTTTTTTTTTTGTTTGCGAGGACTAAATGGAATGAGAGGCAGCAGCAGGATGAGCAGGAGCAGTACCAGTAGCAGTGCCACAACCTGCGTATTAAATAAATAATGAATTTTTATGAGGCTCTGCTTCATTACGCCAGGAGGAGTCGTCAACGTGGCCACATCTCCGACTATATGCGTGGGACGTATATATATATATATATATATAGGTATATAGTATAATATGCACCCCCTTTAATCTGGGATGCTTTTTGTAGCTACTGGTACTGCTCGTGGTGCTAAAAAGTTAAGCAAATTAGGAGTGCGTGCCACGGCGAGACGTGTCCTTTGGACTTTGTTGGCCTCCTCTCGTAAGCCGCTTGTTTTATTGAGCTCCTGATTCTGTTTCTGATTCTCTTCGTTGGATGATTATGGTTCTGTTTCTTTTTTTTTTGGAAAAATGGGAGATGGTTGTGGTGGAGAAAGGGCCATGGGCCTAATTGGAAGCTCCGACTTTACGGCCAGCCGACATTCCATTCTAATTTCGGATTTAGTTGCGGCCATAAAACATCATCATATTCGCCAAAGTGCCACAGATTTCGGCCATGTATGGCACTGCCTCGTACCTGGATTTTACGGCCACTATGCTTTATGGCCGCCAGCCTCCAGCAGGCTTCTGCTTTAAATTACCCTCCTTCTCCCTGCATCCTCCCCCTGTAAGTGTGATTAAATTCAACAAATGGTCTGGGGGAGACATTCAGGGGGAAATGGGCGGGCTGATCCGGTTGATCCCTTACCTTGAGAGCAGTCGGGACCTGTCCAGTGGCGCTCGCAAACACACTGGCCGGTCTCCAGGTCGTAGGTTCCGTGCTCGGAGCAGCCGGGCAGGCACTGGTACACCTGCTGGTCGATCGTGCCGCAGTCCTCGCCCTGCCACCCGGCCTTGCAGTAGCACTGTCCAGCCACACAGGTGCCGTGTCCGGAGCAGAGCGGATCCAGGCAGTCGTCTGCGTTGTCCAAGTGGTGTGTAGTGGCGTGGTGGGTGGAGAGGTCATCGCCGGGTGGTTGATTTTTGTGGGTGGGAGGGAGAGAAAATAAATACAAAACGATTGTTAGTCAACACGTGGAGATGACACAGTGAATATGGTTATAGAAGCGAAATATTTATAGAGAAAGGTATAATGGGGAATACATAAGAATTGTACATTAACAGGTTAGGATTCTTGCTATCCTTACTTATGTTTATCAGAGCTCGAACCATCTAAAGCCTTTTTTTAAAAATGAACTTAAGCCTTTTAAAAAAATCCAAAGATAAAACCTTTAGCTCCACAAACGGTTAAGAGTTATAGAGTTAAAATTATAGAAAATTCTACGTGTGAATTCTATATAGTGTTTAGTCTCCAAAATATTCATAAGACTTCTTAAGTAAACTCCTTATATTCCCTCGAATGTATGTGTAACTTTTTAAAACTTAAAAAGCGCTAGGATCAGTTATGTTTTATTCAGGAAAAGGTAGAAAAAGGCCCTATGTATGCTACGGTATGCTGGGTATTCTACTAACCATTCTATTATAGGTATAGCCTAGGTATATAAAGGTTTTGGTTAAAAAAATGACCTCCTAAACCACCATATGTCCTTTAGACCTCCTAAATCCCTCTTCTTATAGTCATTGTATCTGAAAAACAGCCTTATAAAGCTCAAAATCAACTCAAATAACTACAAATATTAAAAAGCCCTAAAACATGGCCCTTAAGGTATACTTTATATGAAGTTATACTTTTTACCAACTATGCTTTCTATAGGTAATTCTTTTATTGATTAAATTTACTAATAACACCTAAACCCCTTTAAAATCTTGTAATATAACTAAGTAGTGTCCTCTTTTCAGAGTCCCCACTGTATCAAATACAAAAAAAAATAAAAATATTAGAGTGAAGAAAGGATATTATATATATATTTGATTTCGGTAGGGCAGCCAAGTCGTGACAGCCGTGCCAAAACAAAAAGCTTTCCTCCATTTGGTACCTACTCTCCACTTCCCGTCTCTTTCTACCACCCTCTCGCTCTATCTCTCTGTCTCTGTTACTCCTTTCGTTTTGGCCAAGACCCCTCCTTGTATGGGGCAAAAACACACACATGACATGATTAGTATGTTAGACACGTACGAAAGTGGTCATTAAAATGAAATTCCAGTTTAGTTCAAGTTGGTAATTTTGCGCAGTTGTTGCAATTTTTCTTTCTCTCTCTATCTCTTTCTATCTGTCTCTATCTATCTCTTTCTGTTTTGTTTTCCGTTTGTGTTGTTTTTCTTCTCCTACTTCTTCCGGTCTTTTTTTTTTCCTGACTTGGCTCGCATGTGTTTGAGGAATATGCTCCCGACATATAAATTCGATTTTATACGTTTTATGTTTGCTCAACGTTTTCTCCCCAGGACCTCTCGACCCAGGACCTCGCATCCTGTTCTGTATATATTTTTTTTTTGCTGCTTTACTTCTGTTTCTGTTTCGGATTCTGTTTGTTGTTTGTCCCTGTTTGTTTTCACATGCCACCAGGCCACCCCTGGTGGCTCCAACATTAAACTCATCAAAATGTTGCCCCAACGTGTATTGTTGCATGTTGCATATTTTATGCCCCGACCCACTAGGGCATGTCCTGCGAGGTATATGCGTTTTTAAAGCGGTTTCAGGATGGTATGCTTTTGTAGGGTATCTGAAAGACCTCTCTGGTCTTTAAAGCCTGCTTTTGGGCTAATTCAAAAGAGCGACGGGCAGTGTGTTGGAAAAGCGGAAAAATTTTTGGCATTTCTTTGCCTTTCGCTTTGTCAATTTAGGGCCAACACATACACACAGAGATACACACACACAGATACAGAGACACAAGCGAGGCCAGAATATTTTTGGACCAAGAGCCCCCCCAAAAACGAGAGGGGCCGAACCGAGGAAGAGGAGAGGTGTCGGCATAATAACTGAAATATTTTGGCATCCACTTGGCGGGCCACTCCCTCGACTTCTTTCTTTTACGTTTTTCTGCCACCACCACCCAGCCTCCACTCCAAAGGACAGCACCCATGTCCTTGTCCGCCGACTGTCCTTATCGGGCAGTGTCAACATGGCCCGGAACCGAGGCTGGCTCCAAATTGCAAACAAGGCAAATAAATAATTTTAGCATTTTTATGCCAAGTCAGCAGAAGGCATACACACTCATACAGAGCAAGAGCACTGAGAGAATATTATTTTTGGAGTCTACTTTTAGGCTGCGGAAAGTGTTGTTGAAAAAGGAATGACCTCTAGTGCCAAAAAGTAGGCTTTAAATACTAAAGATTCGCAAATATTTAATAGTATTTTAGGTTGAACTTGAAGGAAGTTTTGTGGAAAAAGGAAGTCCTAGGAGTATGCTTCAAATACGAGATATTATTTAATATTTTAGACTCTATTTTAGGCCTTTTAGAGTGTTGTAATAAAATTCTAAAATATTTATTAATATTTAAAGACTACTTTTAGGCTTGAAAGTATTGTGGAAGAAAGGGTATTATCATAACCTTTGTATGCCTTGAAGTCTCCTTCAAATACTGAAAATTCTTAAATATTTAATAAAATTTTGGAGTATACTTCTAAGCGTTTTAAGTATTGTTAAAAATAAAATTCCCTTTACTGCCTAAAAGCATGCTTTAAATAATAAAAATTCTCTACCAAAAATCTGCAAATTATTTCTCACAGTACATGCCCAGTGAGCACCAAGTCCTTGACACTTACGCTGATCGCAGTAGGGTCCTTTCCAGCCGCGCTCGCAGTGGCACTCGCCCTCGATGCAGCGTCCATGGGCCGAGCAGTTGGGCACCTCGCACTCGCCCACCGGAATGTCGCACTCCGCCCCCTTCCAGCCCTCTTCGCAGTGGCACACTCCGCCCCCGTAGTGACCATGGGCGGAGCAGAGGACAGGACACACGCCTAAAGAGTGCGAAAGAGATGGATGAGTGTCATGGTGGTTTGTTGGAATAAGGTTCTAGGGACTTACTTTTGGAGCAATCCACTCCCTGGTAGCCATCGATGCAGTCACACTTGCCCAGGTAGCAGCTACCACGGCCGGAGCAGTCATTGGGGCAGGTGGTGCTGACACCCTCGGCCTCCTCGGCCAGGAGGGAGACGGAATGGGCCACCAGCTCGTCGTTGTAGACGGAAATGAACCACAGGCCAGTGTCCAGGTACTGCAGGAGGGACACATTCACGGTCATCGCGTCCACGTCGAGGGCGGGCAGGCCGTCGCCGGCGGAGCGCTTGTTGACCCAATGCTCCTGCGGCTGTTGCGGTTTCCCGAACTTCTGGACATGCTGCTTGGCAATGTTCAGGGGTATGTCCACGTCGTCCTCCCGCGACTCAAAGCTGCGGCTCTCGTCCGAGTCCTGATCGTCGTCCGGGTCCTGGTCGGTGTCGTCAACGGTGCGATAGCGCATCTCCTCCTCCTCCCGCAGATGCTGGTAGAGCTCCAGGTCGTGGGTGGTGGCGTTGCCGGTGCTGCGACGGTGGCGCAGGTGGCTGTCCAGCCGCCCACCTTTGATGAACTCCACAAAGTCGTGCTGGGTCACCGAGGGAGCCACGTTGCGTCGCGAATAGACCGCAAAGTGGGCGCCCCACGGCAGCGTGAAGTTGAAGCGAATGAAGGCCGGATGCTTGTTGCGGAATTCCAGGGTCCAGAACTGGTAGGCGGGTATGGTGGCGTGGTAGGCCTCGTTGAACTCCTTCAGCTCCACCACACCGCCCAGCTGGGGCTGCAGCGCCTGGTGGTTCTGCTGCATCATCTGGCCCCCCGGGCCCATGCCCATGCCCATGCCGCCGATGGCCCCGTTGCCGGGTATGCCGCCGTAGGTCAGCTGGTGGTGATCCTGCAGCTGGGTGTTCGTGGCGTCCAACGGGGTCAGCGGCTGGTTGATCGAGTGCGGCTGTTGTTGCTGCAACAGCAACTGCTGCTGGATGCCGGCATTCCCGCCGGCCATCCCATTGCCCCCAACGCCGCCGACCACCGCCGGGTTCATCAGCCCGTGGACACCGTGATTCTGGCCGTGGTCCGAGGTGCTGGTCTGGATCGATTCCTCTGTGGGATATGCCGTGGCCACGCCGTTCTTCTCGTTGCCTTTCGCCAAGCCGCCGCGCAAGTCGTGGGGCTGGGACTTGACGTCCTGGACTAGGATGCAGTTGGTGGAGTCCATGTTGGGTTTCATTGAGCTAACAGCTGTAAGAGAGAATTGAAAGAATGGTTACTCCTGATTTCTTTATTTCATTGCCTACTTTTAAGTGTTGTGAGTGTTGTAATTGTGTTGGTGTAATTGGTGTAATAATTGTTGAAAAATTAAACCTTAACTGTCTAAAAGTATGCTTCAAAACATAACTTTTCAGCCTTTAATCTATAAGTTGTTGAAAAACATACCTCTCCCACCTAAAAGTATGCTCTAATAGTGTATGCTCCAAATATCCTTTCAAAACCTTTAGTTTATAAGTTTCCATTGCCTGCTTTTTAAAGGCACAAAAGTATGCTTCGAAAAATATAAACAATTAATTTCCCTATTTTATGAATCAATACCTATTATTTCCTCCCAAAAATTGATATACTAAATTAAAGGTTAGCACACACAACTACTCTGATTAGAGCCCGCATCCTTGCATTATCCTGGGCCGTTACGTCTTCTGTTTCAGGGCAGAGCTTTGCCTCTTAGCTGGATTTTCGATTCGGCTTCGGCCAAATGTGCGCCCATAAATCGGGCCAGAAGCAGCAGCCCCCGAAACCAAAAAGGACGAACGTGCCACAGAGAGAGGGAATGCTGGAGCTGCTGAGCTGCTAGTATTTCTGGCCATAAATCCTGCTCCTCATGGCCAAGAGAATCGCAATAATGTCTTCTGTGGTGCTGTAGTTGGTGGCTTCAGCTGCTGCACCGCCCTGTTTTTCACACATAAATTTTGGCATCATATTTTAACGCCATATTAATATGCACACGAGTATAAATCAAAAACTAGCGCACCCGCCCTGGCTCCTGCAGGACTCATACACACACACATGGACACAAAGTGGCCGTTGTTAACACGTTGGCATTTTGCTCTCAGAAAAAGGGTCCTCGTCCTGGTGCTGGTTGTGGGCTATCGTTTATCGATAACCATGGCCAGCCGGCAATTTATGGCCATTGGCAGTGGGAATGCGGCGCCAGCAGGTCCTGGCCATCAGGACATGCAAAGCGCCAAAAAAACAAACGAGGACACCGACATGATTGAAGGACTCCACCCAGAAGGGTTAACTAAACATGGCTTTAAAGTGGAGTCTTCTTGTTAAGGATTCTTGCAATTAATTGTTAATTGATTGAACCATTGATCAGGCACTTCAATCACGTCCTCAATCTCCATCAGCATTCATGGCCCAAATCGTGGCACATTAGTGTCGGCCCTCGCGAGCAATTAACCTCACCCACTCGAGCCCATCGATCGGAATTATGTTAATGGTCGGCATTCGATTGGGCTATATATAGCTTACCATTTGTATATTTTTGTACGCGGACTCGTGTACGCGTGTGTGAATCATAAACATATGAATAATGGCCCCAGTGCTGTCATTGCTCCTTCTACGCTGCCTTCCCAATTTGGGGCACTTGACAGGAAAACAAAACATTTCGTTGACATGTAAACTAATGCACACGCACCCCCCCACACCCCAACACTCCAACACACACACACACAACAAGACAAGGAGCAGTACCCGAAAGGACGAAAAAAAAGCCATTCTTAGATATATGGTCCGCGGCGAGTATCATTAATAAATTAAGAGCTCGGCCCAGTTGGTTCTATTAAGTTAACAAGCTTTTCATTCAAGTGCCCTCCTGCTACCTCGCTACCTCCACTCGCCAAACAATGAAGGACCTCCTCGGCGTGGAGTGGAGTGGGTTGGGTTTTATATTTCCTTGCCATTCGATTCGATTCGATTTGGTTTCTGGTTCGGTTTGGGCTTCTAGTTCTTGGCGTTGTTTTTCGTTCAGCAATTAAATTTGATTACAACTGGCCGCCCACCTCCTTTTAATGGCAGAGCCCATCCATTACCACCCCCCATGTTTGGCTCTCGCTAATGATTATTTAGTTTCGTTTTTATTCCTTGGTGCTTCCTTGTTGGGGGAAGTTGTTTAGATTTTTAGCTTTTTAAGGGCATGTCTTGAGGGACAGAGAGAGAAATGATTGAACTCCAATTTTGGGAGAAGAAGTAAGGGGTGTTATATAGTTTTGAAGTCTAACTCTGACTGTGATTGACTTTAAAGTTATATTTTTGCCTTAAAATTATGTTAAAGACCTCTACTGGCTGATAGCTTCATGCATCTAAGTACCAGGTATCATATAATGATATTTCATCGTAGTATCTGTCATATACATCCACCATGTGTCAAATACTACTCTATTATGACTGGTTTAATAGCTAGAAGTACCTGGTATCATACAATTTTTATTGTCATATAGTTATTATAGAATCTCTTTAACTTTGATGCTCTATTTTGGAACTATATGGGTGAAATAGACTCTTAACTATTAGAGACTATATATGTTAGACTATTAACTAATAAGCGTTATAGGTTTGATATATCTGAGTACCGGGTATCATATACTGATGTTTAATCGAAGTACCAGTTAAATATAGGTTACATAATATTATATTATTGATGTATGGATGGATAGAAGTACCGGCTATCATATATTTTTAAAGTATTTGACTTTTCTAAATGTCTATAAATGTGATATAGTCTTCTATTAACTAATACTTTGAAGTATTTCAGTACCTGGTATTATATATTATTATATTATCGTAGTATCTGTCATGTATCTGTGGAAGGATACATGACTAGAAGTACCGGCTATCACACATTTCTCAAAACCACTAGCTTTTCCCTTTAATTTGCTTATTTCTTCTAACTTTTAAGCCAACTACTTCCCATATAGGCCATAAGATAGCCTTTCCTTTAAGACCCCAATCTCTCGCAGTGCATCTACATGTTCAGTGCACATCATTAGTGTGAAATCAAGCACCTCCCCTTTTAGCTGGAATTTCTCCTTCAATTTCTTATTATTTTTTTTTGTTTCTCCAGCCACACAGGCACTCCTTTGGACGTGTGTGTGTATGTGGGTGTATATATATTTTTAGAACCACTCGAGTTCTGCTCCAATTCCTGGCTGATAACTCAAAGGGTGTGCAACGGATGTGTTCGATTAATTATTTCCGCCACCCGGCCACCCGACCAACCCAGCAGCTCCAGTGCCCAACTTTTCCAAAAGGGGCCCGCCTCGCCACTTTTGAATATCCCTGGCCTATGAATAAAAGAGTGCACGACAAATGAGACACATCATCGGGCTTCCCGGCAGGGACCTTATGCAAATTGCTCCTGCCGGGGACAATGGTCCGAAAACTAGAACCACTCAGATCCACTCCCCCCGAAAAATAGCAGCGTTGCCTGTCCAGTGGGGTCTCAGGGTCAGTGAAAAGTTAGAAGCGCCAGCTCCTAGCAGGAGCTGGAAAATTTATGAAACATTTTCTTAATTGCACTTCCTTGAGGAAAATAATTTATTTAAACGACATGCGCACACCTTTCTTCCACGAACCGAAATGGAAAGTGGAGGTAGAGGAAGGTCCTGCCATTGACAAATGTCCTTTCTAGATGTGTGTGTGTTGTGTTGTAATTTAAATTGAAATGTCTTTCATTATGCCTTTTGGTTGGATAACCCAAGACCGAGTTTGTTGAATCAATTTCCATCCTTTTCTTTTTTTTGGTTTATTTTTCTTGTATTTCTAAGGACATTTGGTGGCTTGTTTTATTTTTGAACTATGACATAGTTTGTGTCTATTAGGGAATTTTGTGCCTCGAAATTAATTGAAACCAGCAGGGTATGTGCTTTCGTCTTGCTTTCCCAGCCGAAAAGTGTTTTCCCGCAACATTCTTGGGAAATTTGTTCGCTTTCCTCAGCCTCAGACTCGGCCATTGCTAATTGACTTTCTTTGTTGCGGTTGTGCGTGACGTTCGCATTTCCGGATGATTGGCCACCGCCCACTAGCCCACTAGCCTGCCCACCGCCCCCCTGGTGGTTTTCCCTAGGCTGTTTTTCCGGCCAGAGGAAGAAAACCGAAACGAATGCGAGAAGGACAATTTCCGAGTGCTTTGCATAATTCGTTAGGCGCAAAGGAAACCGCAGAAAAATGAACAATTCCATTCACTAATTGGCAGCAATCTCTTTGACTCGCTCTCTCTTTCTGTCTCAGCCCAGCTGTCTCTTTCCCACATGGTACAGTGAAGCTTGTGGCAGTAGAGAGTTTGATGTTTGTTGTTTGAAAGTGGACACTTGGAGGTTGGTCAAGTGAATGCTATTAGGCCATCGAGAGATCGCAGAAGAAATCAAGGACTATATGATACCCGGTACTAGCTTCTAATATTATAACTATTTTTCTAATATATAGAATACTTATAAGCTTAATGGTTAGTTTTATGACCTTCTGAAACCTTGACCTTCTTTTCAGCTCAGATTTTGTCTTAATTTCCAACTATTGTTTTAAAGGGAGAGTCCCTCCATATTAGATTCTTCTTCATAGTGATGGTTTTGAAGACTATACCATACCCGGTACCTCTTTTATTTAGTTTTCTAATAAAAACTGGCATACTTTTGGGCTTAATGATATGTTATCTTACTTTTTGATACCTCTTTGTTTAACTTTTGTATTCATTTTCATGTATTGTTTCAATATAAGATGTCTCAGGTTCAAAATAGAGAAATTCAAGACTTTACAATACCCGGTACCTTTTCCTTTAATTTAATATTAAATGATAGAATACTTTTAGGTTCAATCTGTATTTTGCTTATCATTTTAAACCCCTTGGATCAACTACTGTTTCAATATGAAAGCCCCCCGACCAACAGCAAGTGGCCATAAACACGTTCTAAGGACCATTATCCCGGCATATTGGTAATTAACCATGAACCGAGCCAGTCAGTTACCGTGGCGATAACTATTGCCGTAATCAGCTTAAGATTACATGCATATATGGCAAGCATGGCAAGCATGAATATTCTAAAGTAACTTTACCCACATCCAGGCATATCCTGGCACATCCTGATGCATTTCCACTCACATCGAAGGGGGGAGGGCGGCCAAGACAGGCATGGCACCCACTGTGCTGGATTCGATTGAGGGGCGCAATGCATCTAATTCTATTGTTGGGG